CTCTTCGTACTCTAGCGTACTCCCGCTGTCCAGAAAAATTACTCTGAGGTTAATTGGCTTCTCCAAATTGTCCGTAGGTGTATGTGTGTGCATGGTTATATGGCTCTGTGTCTGTGTTGCCCTGCGATGGACTAGTGACCTGTCCAGGTGTACCCCGCCTTCGCCCATAAATTGCCAGAAATAGGCACCGGCCCCACAGTGACCCTGACGGAATAATCAGAAAATATGGATGGATGGACACAGACAGTTTAACTTGTTTTGGATTTCTTCTGTTAGTATGTCATGTAAATAAAAATCCTTATTTTTAAACTCACCCAGATCACTGGCTGTTTCTCTGACAGTCTTCATTTTTTCTAGAACTGATGATTGAATCTGTAAGGTGTTGGCAGACATCACGCAGACCAAGACATGAACTCTGTCATCAGCAGAGGGTGTCGGGTTGTAGCCTGGGTCATCTTCAGATAGAGGACCTACTGGGTTGAACTAGAAAAGACCTAATCTTTAACATGAATTGGTTCTAAGAAACACAATCCTTATCTTTAAATTGTGGGCTACTTTTAATTATTTTATTAATTTCAGAATATTTTTCAGAATTGGTGGTTTGCATTTGCTGCACCTTGTGGCCTTCCTTCACATGTCCTTTCAAGGCCAGCTTGATGTCACTAGCATGAACTCCTTGTATTTCCCCATCTTCCAGACCCATGATGTCGCTGAAGACCACAGGGTAAAATGTCTTTGAGCTTCCTCGTCCTCTAGTGAATTTATGAGTTTCATACTAAAAAAAGGAGAAAAATCTAATTAAGAAAAAATGCATTTTGCTGATGCAGTCATTTCTCTAATTGAATAATGGAAGTCTCACACCCTATGTATGGGGAGAACTGGGCAGAAATCTCAGATTAGTTCTTGCGAAAAGGCACTGCAGGAGCTACATAAAATAGGGTTGTTCTGCCATTCATAAGGCTACCACGGACCTATCTGAAAGGTACGCTGAAGGCTGAAGCTCAAAATGAATTTTGCATTCAGTGAGAAAAGCCAGACAATGCGCGGGATCACCGTTATGCAGTTCAGGGGGTGACAGACGTGGCTCCTGAGCAACAGGTCTGACGGCAGATGACGTAGAAGCAGAGGTAGCTTGATTACGCAAATGTATCAGGATTGCCTGCATGCCTGATTTGAGGTGAGTTATACACTCTTCTACGTCTGAACGCCACTGTCGGACAGAATATTCTGTCAAGACTCAGAACAGGGAACCTAGTATTCAGACTGAAAGACATGATATTCTAAGAAACACTTATTAAAAAAAAATGTTAATTTAAAAAAATGACGAATCTATAGTGAGCAGCTAGGGCAGGAACCTTTGTAAGAAGGAAACACAAGTTAGTGACCCTGTCAATCTGCTGGAGCAAGATCATAAACGTGAGTCACTAACCTGATCTTAAAGTTCAATACTTGCCCAGAGGTCGAGGTGGTGAATGGAACGAACAATCAAGCCAATCAACAGAGACAAGGTCATGCACAACAGTGGGCAAAAGACTACTGAAAGGATCACGTCTGTATATTTTTGGTTCTTTCATACACTACTCAAACTTTTTTAGTCATATTGCACTGCATTGTCTCGGTTCTACAAGATGAAGCGAAGCATATTAGCTTTTTGTTTACCCTTTTGGTGAAACTTTTGTCAGATGTGGTTGCACTGGCCAAAGCAGGAATTGTCATTCGACCTCGAATGACGTTACTGACAGAGTTGATGAAACTGGACTTCCCAGCACCAACAGGTCCATAAAGAAGCACTCGAAGGTACCTGATGTCATCTTTTTCAGGTTTGTATTCTTGAATATATTGAAGATCCTGGTGTTTTTCACTGAGAACATCAAGCACATTCATTTGTTAGTTCTGTCAAAACCCAAAAGAGACAACAAAACGCATTCTAGCGAACCATGTTGGAGCCAAAGACCATCAGTAAAACTAACATAATCTAAGTTAGATAAAAAAAAATTCCTATACTTTCACAAAAAAAAAGTTTAAAGTGTATAAGAACTTACAAAAAGATGCTAATTGTTCAAATCCCCTTTGAAACATTTTTTGTGTGATTTCTTTGCACTTAATGAGGATCCGCTATGATGATTATTAAAAATTAATCAGGCATTTGGAGTTTTAAATCGTCATTTAAATTTTATTTTTATGCTTTCGCCCCTACTTTTTCCTCCTCTCTCTGATTCTTTTCTCCATTTCCTGTTGTATCAAAATTCCTTTAGGACCAAATTACTGCCAGGTACCCTTATTAAACCCAACAGAACCTCAATTACTTACTCTGAGGTTTCTTTTTTTCTCTGTTTTTTTCCTCCAGTAAGCTGTGACGCACAAATTCTACATTTCACCAGGGTTGTAAACAAACTGTCAGCAATGAACTGGCAGTTAATGATGAGCCTAATAGTGTTACTGTTAACTCACCTCCAGCGTAGTTCCCTCCATGGTTCATCTAGAGCTGAACAGAAACATAAACTACTATTTTCCAAAGATGAATAAAATATTTTCAGAAACAAAATGAAATCACTTACTTTGTGACTGTGTCTTCGGGGCTTTATTAAAGGAAAAACGGATGAATGTAAGAATGGTAAGTTAACTAGTACCATAGGATTTCTTTACTCAAGTCAGTCATGAGTTTAAAAATAATAATTGTAAAGGTATACCATGATAAATTTAGTTTAGGATTTCTATTTTCTCTAAACTGACTCAGTGTTTCTGAATTTTCTTTTGCCTTAACATCAGTTTCTAAACTTGTCTGCAAGCTGAACTCTCATGGCATTTGTGCATTCACAAACACACAAGAGTCTATCTTGTACTGCTCCAGCTTACACCATTTGAGACTGACCCAAAACAGACAGCTGATCATGCAACAATAATAGGGTTAAATGAGGTTTACATGTCTGATAATATCACATCTACTAGTCACTATCTTACCAGAATCTTGTGGGTTTCCGATAGGTAGACCTTAAGCAGAAAAAGACAAAGATGGTAATTGTAGATTGAATAAGCTGTTAATAAAAATAAATATTTTTAACAGAATTTACTGGTTAAAAAACTTGAGACTGAAACAGAGACATGTCAATAAAATATGAATAAAATAAGATGCGTATTAAATATTTTCAATAGCTTCTGTGAATTAATTGCATTAAATATCTAAAAGCCTCATTTGAAATAAAATGCACTCACCGTACAGCCCTGCAAAGGCACGGAGAAACGGGTTATGATTGTCCATTCTGGTGTTGCTGCTCTGCTGCAAAACGAGTTAGCAGCAATTGTCTCCTCTGTTAAATAACATCCCCTGCTCGGCTAAATCACGTGACTTCAGATAAATCTCTTCATTTAACTTTCACTTTCTGTGCTTTGTGTTTTCTCCTTTCATGTTTATGCTCTGACCACAAAATGCAATTTTTCCTTTAGTTTAACCTTTAGTTCAAAGTGCCTCAGCCGTATGCTGAGGTTGTCACAAAACTACAACCTTCAAAACCTCTGCTCTCCTCTGTAAATTCATTCTGTGACTTTCACTTATCTGTATGACATATTGCAGTCAGCTGTAATCATAGAAGACTTTATGACAGCATATACCAACCAGTTGTCACTAGACATCTAAACAACTGGTTTGTATAGGACACCAGCTGCTCTTTGAACCATCCAACAATACATTCTATCATATTTCTCATACATCTGAGGAGGCTGAACAGGTTTGCTATCTTCCAAAAAACAAAAACACAACAAATTAGTACCAATATCTAGTTAGAACTGAAGTGAAAGTTTACTGGAAGATTGTGAATATATTAAATAACTAGAACTGGAAATTATAATTAATTCATTGGTCATTCATATCAAGGGTAAAACTAATTGATTATAATCAGGTGCTCTCACCCTCTGTCTAAGGCAGTCATGGGTCTGGCGGCTCCTTGGCCAGCAGCGATTAGGGGCCCCGTTGTTTGGCGGTTTAGGTTAGCAGTTAGATTTAGGTTAGCAGAGCTGGATTAGCTCTTCTCTGTCTCTGCTGCAGCAGGCTTCAGGGATGACAGCCTTCAACTCGGTTTGAATTGCAGGACGAATAAAACGTTATGTTAAGCTCCTTCTGAATCACATTTGCTACTTAGCCTTCAGCAGGGGAGGGGTTTAGCGTGTAGCCTTAGCAGCTGTTTGCTGCTGACAACAGACCATATTGCCTACGATGCCATCTTAATTGCCATACCAGCCAAAATCTATGTCATTGTCCTACATTTCCATCAAGATTTCAACAGCTGAATTTCCAGATTATTGATGTTTATTATATATTGTACATGTACAATATTTTAAGACCGTATCATTACATATCAGATGTGCTGATATGTAAATAAACTATATTATAGATATTGGAGTATTGTCTGTTTTTCAGTGTAGTCCTGTTTCTCCTACTATAATTAACTGTATGTTCTCTCTTTTTTCCTCTGATATGGGAGCTGGCTCCAAGCCTGTCTGCCTGGCTGTGTGTTTCCGGATGGGCCACCTGTGGAGCTAGTTAATAGTTACTTTATGTATATATGCTGCTTTCTGTATAGCTGATCCGTCTCCATGAACCCAAGTTGGTCTTGGCAGAAGGCCGCTCATACTGAGCCTGGTTCTGCTGGTGGTTTCTTCCTGTTCAAAGGTAGTTTTCCCCTTCACTGTCGCTATATGCATGCTTGGTGTAAGATACCAATGAAGTTTTAAAATGTAACTTTTGGTTACCAGAATGACCCCTGTTTGCTGAAAACCAACGGAGGCATATAACCACACTATGTTCATTGCATGGTTATGTGAGAAGCATGTGAGAGTGTAGGACAGAGGTTTAAAGTAGGTAGCAAAATAGTAATGTAGAGGTTTAAAGTCAAGCTGTATGTATGTAATTCTACACATATTTATAGTCCAGAGGCAATTTTTTATTGAATACTAAAGGTTAAACCTTCCCTGTAAATTTCGTACAAATTGTTGGTTAAATATGCATTGTCCAACTTCAATAATGTAGTCATTAAACTGCATCAAATATGTTCTTAAATGCACCTGGTTTCACCAGTATGTTGCCCACTCTTGGATGTGATCACCCTTCCAATCTGGAATGGCAGGATGCCATTCCAGATTGGACCTTTCTATGGACCTTTTAGGGCTCTATGGAACAGGGGTGGGTTGTGAAGCTAACTGTCCGATGCAAATTGGCAGAAGAAGCTAAAAGAGTTTTGACTGACCAGACAGAGGGGAGGCTTTCCTCATCAGACTCAGAACAGTTGCCTTATGCTGAACTCTTGACGTGGTTTCTGGACTTTATGATTTTAGAGCGCCTCACAGCAGCTATTTTCAAATTTTGTAGTAAATGTGTTTTATGTTTCAACATTTGCTTATGCAATGACCTCAGGATTTAATTAATGAATTCTTATATGTTGAATGTAGGTTTTCGTGAATTTATTCTTTATGTGTACAGAATTAACTGTTTGATAATGACTGAGGCTTAAATTATGCTTTTAGTTGTTGTTCTAAGCCCATTGGATATATGTGTACAAAGCAGCACAGGACAGTCTGAAATATAAAAAAAAATTGAACATTATTGAGTTTTAGTGCCCAGGAGGCAGTGTGGGTTTAAGGGCCTTGCAGGGTGGCAGTCTGGGGAAGAGGGGATCGAACTCCCACTCTCAGGATTCAGAGCCCTATGCCCTAACCACTAGGCCGCCACCCCCCTAGATATTTCACTAAATATTAAATAGCTTGAAGTTACAACAATATCATCCTTTTTGTAAACAATAAATTTCTTTTTATTACTTTGTTCGAGTATTTCCTAATTATTATTTGAGGTATTGTGATCTGTGCTTTTGAATCACAAGAACACACTTTATCACAGAGTTAAGAGTGTTAGGAATCCAGTTTGTGGGATTGCGTTTTTTGTTTGTTTTCCTCCACCACCTGGTGGTGCCTGGTACTCGTTGGCCTTCTCACACACCGGCGGATGGTTGCCTCATTACCGGAGGACTCTTAAGCTGCTGACTGCCACTACCTCGACGCCAGAGTGTTTGCCAGTTTTGGGTACTCTAGCCAAGCTGAGTTTTGCTGAGACAAACTGAGTTTTTGTCACCTGAGTCTTAACCTAGTTGTTTTTTTGTCTTTTCCTCTCGGCAGGAAGTCATCCTGCAAACTGGATGTTTTGGACCTTCTTTCCCCTGGAAGGACTCTCTGGGCATCAAACTGAGCTGAGGATTCAAACTGGAGGTTTGGATCCTCAAGGACTTTTCCCCAAGGACTGTTTGGGCTTCTCTCTGAGCAGGAGATTCATCTCCACAAGAAACCTTTCAAGTACCGCAGGAAATGTAAGTGGCAGTCAGGTCCTCTAGGAAACACCTGAACCTGCTTAAACCCTGTCCTCCCTCCAATGAACAAGTCTATTACTGGAACAACCCACACCGACTGGATTCAACGAAAGACACCTTTTTCTGGAAACGTGAGTCCTGTTGCCGTTATTCCCTTTTCAAATCAAAGACACAAATTTCCCACTGAGCCTGAATTAACCGCAGAATATTCCCCCTCACTTTTCAGTCCTGGTTTGCCAGTGTTCAGAGAAGCACTGGACACCTCTATACCTACTCACAATAAACATGTTAAACCTTCCCTTGGTTTCTCTGTTTGCTTTTCTGCATGGATAAAATCATGACAAAGAGAACCTGTCATGACCTTTCTGGTCTTTGTTGTGTCTCTATGTCTGTAACTTAACTTGGTTGGCATCTTTGCTCCGATATTTTTTCAGCTACAGTACATCCAGATCAAATATCCTATATTTAATCATCATAAAGGTTCTAAAAAGAACAATTCCCTAATTAACAAAGTTGATGTAAAAAAGTCACTGCTTTGCTTAAGATTTTTCTTTTTGTTATTTTGCTGAACTGAAGTCAGTAAATCTTGGCAGATCAGTAAATTAAAGGAATAGTACACCCAAAACATGATTAGCCTTCATTTTCTACTCACCCCCATGCTGAACAACACTCTGGAGTACTTTTTTGATATCTCAAATGCATCTGGAGATCTGGGAGGCTTCTTGCTGTCTGCTGACATTCAAATAATGGAGGTCTATGGTGCCCGAGGCAGAAAGTTCCATAAAAGTCCACAAAAAACGTGTCAATATTCCTCCATACTGCTCGTCCAATGTATTCCAAGTGTCCTGAGTGGGTAGCGTCCATAATTTACTCGAAACAAAGTCATTTAGAATGTTTTTAGAGCATAAACAGTAGTGTATAGGATTTCCTAAAAGCGCGTTCACGAGTCTACGGAAACCGCGGCAGACCAAACCAGATGAAAGTGCGCATTCAGCGTCTGCTCTGCCGATAATGCAAGCGTAGAAGAAGAAATGTGCTGTTTACATGTGCAAAGAAAGAAACAACGAAAGAAAAATGTCTGAGGACTTCAGTGTTGAGGAAGAGCATGAGTTCTTGGCCGAG